TTGGTGCCAGATGGACTGGTGTGAGAATTTCAGAAACAGCTGATCTACTGGGATTTTTTCACACAACCATCTCAAGGGTTTATGGAGAATTTACAGGTGTGTACTAGCAGTCTGCTCAGTAAGTATAAATATTTTTTTATAGGTTAAAGGTGGTTATCAAATCAACAATTTTGTATTCATTTGCATTTATCTGACCCTTCACTCAAAGGGAACAACTGGGAATATGCCACAAGGTGTTCAATGTTAAAGTTCATAATAAGAGCAAAAACATGCAACTCTAACGCCATCTTAGCTTAGCGTGCCAACAGCAGTACAGCTGAGGCTGATGGCTATGGGAATGTTGTTTTGCAAGCTATGGCTAAAACTGCAGCATAACAGGGTATTTGTAATACAGCATTGTACAGTCATGACATTGCTCTTATAACACTGAAAGTTTCATTCTTTCCCACTGCATATTATACCCAATGATCATCATAATAAATAATATTAAGAGTCACATGAATGATTTGCCTTCACACTGACCCCCTCCCCAAACAACAGACACAAACAAAGGGTGAAATGCTCTTCAGGTCAAGCTCCAGCTGAGCTCTGTGACACATACATTTACACACATGTTCTTACTCATGCTGATGCTCACAGGATTAGTTTTTTTTAATGCAAGTCTCTAGATTAGACAGGATTAATCTATATTGATGAGAGAATATTTCTGTCCAGCTGTAACTATCACAGCTTTCTGTCTTTTGTGTCCATGTTGTGTCTTTTCTGTAAATACTATAATAGCTTTAAATGCCTTACAGGCTGGCCCCTGAAGCAACAACACTTTGTCTTCCAGTAAAATTGCTTCTAATATTATTTCCTCTTCCTGAGGTTCAAGAAGATAAAAAAAAAATTGAGAAAAATACAAATACTAATCAACAGTTGCATGTTTACATGACAAATACATATATCTATGAATCACATTTACTCTATATAAACAAAGAAATTATTGACAATTATCAAACCTCCCTAGGATAATATGAAGTAAATCATGCTATTTTTGTGCAGGTAAAAAAAATACACAGTAAAGTGTCATCATGAGTGTAACAGAAATGCAAAGAATGTGCTCATAACCTGTCCATGTGATCACATTGCACACATCTGCTCTTTGAAGGGAACGTGTGTTGAGGAGACGTGATCCTTTCATGCATCTAGTACTGTATACATAAGTGTGTGCGCGCCTGCAGGCATGTAAGCAATTGAGTGCGCACTTTAAACAGACTTCAGGGAAAATAACAGTAGTCAGCTTGTTAGCGAGCTCTGTTGTTAATGATATGTCATAAAAAAAATAATGAATTTTTAACTAACCTCCGCTTGAAGTGGTGCTACATTTAGAAACATTATTTATTCTTCAGTGCAGGCGCAAAAAGTCTGACTCATGCTGCATTTTTAATCATATCTCACAAGAAATGGTCAAATTTAGCTCTCTACCACGCATGCTGCTGCTGCTGTTCAGGACGGGTGTGTGTGTGTGTGTGTGGGTGGGTGGGTTACCTGTCCTTTGGGGGATGGCAAACAGGGTGAGCTCAGTAATCCCTGGAGCTTCTGGGCCTCCCAGTGTGTCGTCCTCAATCCCCCCCCACCCCCAAGAGCCTGCCAAAATCCCCCTGACAGCAGTCCCTGTTATTTGCATATCAGTAGCTTAACTCCACCTCCAGACAGAACAGAAATGAGGGATTAAGGAAAGAGAAGAATGAACAGCGATAAGGCAACACAAACATGATTCCTTTAGGAATGCAGGAAGCACAGACTAAAAGATATGCAGCAATTTATAAGACTCATTCAAGATTGTGAAAAACAGAATTAGATTTATTTGCTAAATAAGTGTACACATACAAGGAGCTGAGCTTTATTCATTGCTCTTAATATACTTAACAGAATAGATAAACAGACAGTGCAGAAAGAACAACACAAATAGCATTTTTCAGATTTATATGTTCAATAAAAAGAGAATTGGACTGTCAGTGTGAATAATGAAAAACATAATGTAACCTTGACTCTACTCTCTCTCCACATTAGTAAGTTGACACACGGCGTACTGGCTGATCAAAGCCAACAGTTTGCATGCTATTAGCGGTACAATCCTAATGTTACTGCGATTTAAAGCTTATTCAAACAAGCGAGACTCAGGGGGATACATTCACATTACATTCAATTATGTGTATCAGGAAATGAATCTAATATGGCCACAGCTGCCTGTGTTGTTTCTTTAAGGCAATGTGACTCACTGTTAAGAATTCATGTGAGTGTTAGTGTGCCAGACATAACAGCAACCACCTTTTGTCATTTTACCTAAAAGAAATACATTTGAACACTCAAATCTCAAAAACAGATTTATTTAAAAGTCGAGGTGAATACAAAAGTTATAAATACATATATTTTAAATATCAACTATAAAGAGGATGCTTCGTTGTGTATCTTGCATGCTTTGATAAACAAATAATAGGTAGCAAGGATCTGGAGATAGGAGATGGTCAAATTTGTTAAAACTGGTTGATAACACTCGAGCAGGGCGATTACTTTTCTCTGAGACAGCATCCAAGGACACAAGAGAAAGATGCCTTACTTGATTTACTGATACACCTTCCGATTTGCTGAGCTCATTAAATCAATGCAAAGGTAAATCAGAGCTTTTGATCTTCACTGCCAGACAGACGTAATCAGTATTTTGGCCAAGTCTGTGGAGAGCTTTTCAGACCTTATGACAACGAATGAATAAAGCATATCATGAATCTGCGAACACAGGAAAGGGAAATGCCAGTTTTGAATTATAGTACGAGTGATATATGAGCTACAGTGGATTTTAATTAGTATCTCGGTAGTGTTTAATATTGAAAATTTGTAATTATAGTTAGATGTTCTGATAGTGGATTCATCCATTTTTTAAATACTAGTACGGTTAATAAAAGTTAAAAGATAGCCTAGAGCAATCCAACTTTACGTTTCTTCAGACTTAAATCTGTAAAAAGCACTAACTGATATATGTGGAAATCCGTGGGCACACCTCACAGACACAAATCACATTTTTTGCATTTTCTTTTTATTCTTCATTAAGGGATTTTCTCTTAAACTCTATGCAGGAGGTATCCACAGATCTCCAGAGAGGACTGTGTTACGTGCCTGTGTTGGTGGGTTATCTGTTTCTTAATGTGTGTATGCAAATTCACCTGTGCAGGGGCTCGGCTGTGATTGGTGGACCTAAGGAAAGGCCTGATGTAACTGGTTCCTGCTGTGGACATGGACTATAAAAGACTTCCCGTGCACTTGCCGCAGGTCCAGACGGAGCATCCGTAGCAATAGCTATTTGGTTAAATGGTCGGGCATGTGTGTGAAGTGCGGAGCAAGTAGGGGTGAGCTGCCGATTATTTTGGGAAGCCTTCTTTTCTCCTGTGTTTTTAGACCACGGAGGTCAGACTGTGTTATTCCTTTCTTTTCTTTTCCGTGAACAGGTCAGAGGAGAACCGAAGCCTAGGTTGAGTTTTGTTTGTTGTGTTGGCCTTAGCTCACCCCGAAATCATACACTCCCATTACCGTGAGTGCCATTGCTGTCAATAAATCATTGTTAAAAGACCGATGCTGTGGCTGTGTCTGTCTGGGCAACTGCCTTTCCATGCTGACTTTGCAGATTCTTCCCTGTGCAAGGTTTCCTTTGCCACACAGTCCAAAGAGATTAATTTTGTCCCATTTTGTCTCCAGCATCGTGTCAGCAATGGCCCGTACTGGTTGACAACCTTTGCTTACTTCGGTTTTGCTTTGCCTTCATATTCAGTAGAGGTACTTTTATGTTAGCATTCTTAGCCTTTCAGACTGTCTTAAATTCATCTCCTCCTAAATGCAGTTTTGTAACATTTCAGGTGGGGAAAAATGCAAGCTTGCAGCACTCAGATATATTTTTATAATTTTACGTGTAGGCACCAATTAGCCTGGTTTTCGGTTTGACAGAGATGAGTCAATTATTAGCAACAGAAAAGTTAAAAGTTCTCAGCCTTTACAAGTAGAACGGCTGTTAAATTTGGGCACTTGCGGATTTATCTACCAATCCATTCATCCATCTTCTACTTTTTCAATTCAGGGTTGTAGGTCAAATGGCACATTTGTTGTGTATTGCATATTAATGTACATCACTCTGTGGAAAATGCTTTTATGTTTGCTATAGAGGGTTGGACTTAAAAGCAAATACTAGCTAGTATTTGGCGACATGTATTTTTGCACATCATTCGAATACTACTTACAATAATGAGTACTATGGCTAGCAGGAGCCAGCCCAATGCTTCCACTGAAGTCACATCCCTACTAAAAGAGAATGGAGTTAACAAGCATATGACATTAAACTGCCTTTCTGTCACTCCTATTAAAATAAAGAACATCCTCAGAATCTCCTCATTCTTCTCTAAAGATTGTTTGCCTAACTCATTCTGAAATGTTACACTCCTGATCCTTTTCTTCATTTTCTAAGTCTCGTCATTTTACTCGAGCCCAGTTTCTCATGTCTAGACTTAAAATGTAACTCTTTTTCATAAACTGAAGAACTAAGTACTAGACAGCATGAAACCACACAGAGCAGCAAAAAGTCATACAATAGACCTTCTCAGACACATGCATCACACATATCGACCAACACACACAACGTTCACATCACTGTCTCTAAGGAGACGTCAACACAGTGAAAACAGATGAGGAAACACGTGTGGAATTTAAAGACTGTTCACCACTACATCACTTCTTCCATGATACATCACACCCTGAAAAAAACCTTCTCCCTGTTAGAAACAAAGGACTGTGTGGAGATAACAAGCCAGTCTGAATGACTGTTAAAAAATGCTTCCTGTTTATTATTTGAATGAATTTATAAGGGCTTATAGTACAAATAACATTTGTTTTCCAAACAAGGAATACAGGTTAGTCTTATATATAGTCTCTAATAACTTCAAATCCTGCTTAGCTTTCTGTGAAACAGGAAAACAGCGTCACTAGATGAAATATCTTCTAAACATACAATTAAAGCTCTACCTTCTGACACCCTGATAAAATGTAAAAACATAATATAACAAAATAAAATTTTGACATGACTTAGCTTTTCAGTAAAAAGCTTCTGATGCTCCTTTATAGTACATTCACAGTCTAAAAATGTCTTCAAAATTTTATCTGCTTTACATCAGCAACCTGAAATGCCTCTGTTCCTCCAGACCACACACAGGGCCAGCCTGTCTATGAACCTGCCCTTTGATGTGTAACATCAGCAGCCATTAAAGAAGGGTGTCCTCGCTGTCCTCATTGTGCGTGCTGAGCTGGGTCTTCCGGTAAGCTGTTACAGCTGCCCAGATTCGACACAACATGCCGCCTCTGCAACAGCAACAGTGGACTCACATTCATGTGCAATGTCACTTTGCTTAAACTTATGATGAAACTTAAAATAACGGTGTAGACTTCGCGTTATGAGGGGGTGATGCGTGGAGGCAGCTCACCTTATTCCACAGTACATCAAGTCATCCTTGGCGGCCATACGGAGGAGACAGTCCAAGGTGAACTCATGAGAGAGCAACTGGAAAACAGGATCACAGAGGTGTGGATTAATACCAGGTGGATGAGTAACACGAAGTAGCTTTAGGGGTGTTAAAAAGGCAAAGTTGAGCTTTTGCTGAATTTACCTTGTTGATAGTGTCTTGATCTACGGGGACAGTCTTTAGCCAGCGCGCTAAGGCTTTCTTCTCTGGTCTGGAGCTTTTCTGTGAAGCCAACTCCACATCTATAATGCACAGAGTTACAACCATTAGGTTTTCTCAGACACTCATAAACACATGGCGTATTTAATGGAACAAAAGCGTCTTCGGCAGCCAGCCCGTATAATCATTATACAAACTAAGAAGTCAAGTTTGAGCACATTAGCAGCTGATCTGGCAGCCAACGCCTCTGACAGCAACTAGTCAGGCAGAAATCCGCCATCAGCCTGTAGCTAAGGTGTGGTAGGGATTGCTTGGCGCAGATGTTAAGAAATAGTAATTAGAATCACCGAGTGTACTGATAATCCAAAGAAGGCTTGGTCCCTTCAAATGATACTGCTCATGTCACAGCTTGTGTTGATGTTTGTCAGATAACAGGTGAGAGAATAACTTCAGTGCTCCTCAAATAACTATTAAACATCTTTGTTTACTGTCTCATATCTAGTAGGGGGGAAAAAAAAAATCGCAAAACATAAAATTAATTTTCTAGGGTTAGAGGTTTGATTGTGGTGTACAAACAGAAGATTCAAATATTCAAGAAAATTTCATCATCTAAAGGAATGGTTCAGATTCAAGTCTAATTGAGTTCAGGATATAGCAAATCAGGAGAATACACTTCAATGATATAGCCTTTTGTAAATATTTCAAATCAGGAAAATAAAGCAGGCTGCCTTTATTTGGCACAACTCAGCTTGCAGAAAAACGCACGATCACAGACACAATTCAGTTCAGTTCAAGCTTCTTTATAAACCACAAATCCACAATAACAGTCACCTCAATTCCCTGTGTACTGTAAGGTAAAACCCATAGTATTGACGAAAACCCTAACAACCAAGCAGTCCCCCATGAGTGGGCCCTTTACGACAGTGGGAAGGAAAAACTGCCTTTTAACAGGAAAAAACCTTCAGCAGAACCAGGCTCAGGGAGGGGCACCCATCTGCCATGACCAGCTGGAGGGTGAGGGGAAAGAGAAGGGAGCAGGGATAGACAGGAAAAAATACACATTATGAGAGAGAGATGACAAAAAAAGTAGTGGGGAATGGGGAGTGAAAAGAGGTGAGTGGGGAAAGAAGTGCTTACTGTAACACAGCAGTTACTGTGCTAGTATTTTGTAAGATGTAACAAGTTTTGGCATTAAAACAACATTACCCTCATTGACTGATTCTTTCCTCAGTGCGTCTATTTGCTGTTGTTTTCTCCAGAGAGAGTTCCTCAGTAGCTCCTGATACTCTGTCTCCTTCTCGCTTAGATGATTCAGCAGTCTGAAACACAACACAAACAGCCTTAACACGCAGCAGAAAGCCCTGCAACCCAAAATTAAATGAATCACTGTGTACACCTAATAGGAATGTTAGTGACAATTATTCTATTTTACAGGAAATATGAGGGGGATATGAAAAGAAAGCTGAGAAAACAAAAAATGTATTTTATATATGTATGTAGTTTGTTCAGAGAATCGAATAAACCTGTAGATTCTCTGAACGATAAAGGTGACAGGCGAAATAAACCTTCTGGTCTCCAGTCGCAGATCTCTCAGGTTCTCGCTGAGTGGCCAGTTGGTGTTAAGGTTGAAGTCCGCAGGTTTAGGGTTGGCTCTAGGCAGCACGTCATTTGCTGGATCTGGCTGCTGTGTGTATGCTGGTGCCACCAGCTGGTCGGGGACTAGAGCTACAGGAGTGTCTGGATCGGCAAACAGCTCCTCAGAGGTGTTGTCCTCACTCTCGAACGAGGACTGCAGATGGAGTTTGAGTTCTGAAAGGCAAAGGGTAAATTAGTATCAGAAAAACAGATAAGTAAGAAATATAAATGAATAAATTAAAAAAATCAACAGGCAAGAAAATAAATACATTTAAATGTAAATAAAATATAAACACAATGAAATATCAACTGAAGATCTGCTTGACAATGTTCCTCTGGCAAACACTCTTAGACAGATCATGGAATGAAGCACATGCCTACTTTACCTGGCAGTAATACAGTTATGGCATCCTGTACTGCCTGTCTCAGCAGATTGTCCAGAGCAAACATCCAATGAGGTTTCACCTTTTGTTGCTTCAACACTTTTTTCACCTATGGTCAGAAGGTTTTGTATGAATATAAGGAGGCTTATTCTCAATTGTGATGTAATTGCTAAATAAAAAAATCTTGAAATTTGTGAAGTGCAATCACTAGCAAAATCTGGCTTTGTGAAGTGCAAATCACCAGCAAAATCTGGCTTTGTGAAGTGCAAATCACCAGCAAAATCTGGCTTTGTGAAGTGCAATCACCAGCAAAATCTGGCTTTGGGCTCCGAAGTAACTTACTGCATCTTGGAAGTTAAATAGCACCACCTGTAGGCTGTTCAGAGGTACTGAGGCAGCTACGAGCATAGCTCGAAGCTCCAGCAAGCCGCTGGTAAGCTGCTTCCTGTCCGGGGAATGGATGTTGTCACGCAAACAAATAACGAGTTTGGTGATGTGGTCTGGAGTAATCGAGGAGCCATCACCATACTTTTAACAGAGAAAGGGAGACTTTAAAATCAAGATACATTCTGCAGTTCTCGTTTTCAAAGTATATAAACCCATCTACTTCATCTCTCTGTAGTTCTTTTCAGCTGGAGAGTAATGGTCTTTTTCACTGTGATAAAGGTGGACATTTCAAATTTGTATCTGTTATTGATAACAATGTTCCTATTAATGGTCATTTCTCCTTTAGTAATGACAAAAATGCTCTGCTCAAAACAAATTCTAACCTAAATGCATAAAACGAGATACACTAACATCTTTTATTAACTCTTATTGTAAAAGTATGGTTAAAAATTGTGATGCAAAGAAAAATCTGAAGGTTTTTATAGAGAAACAGTACATAACTGGAAAGAAGTAGATGGAAAGAAAGGAAAAAGAAACACAGAAACCTTATTTATCCTCAAGAAACATCTTATCAAACATAAGATAATAATCTAAGAGCATTTAAAGACCAAAACCCTCATGAGGGAAACTCCCACAGGTTTTAGCTAAACAGGTAACCTTTGCTTGTACATTCTTTGGCTTTACATTCCTATTTCTCTAGTTTGCAATGTCGGTGGTGCAATACGTGTAAGGCAATACGTTAATAGTAGATTACAAAGGAATTGGTTCATTTGGTATGGCCTATACACTCACCAGGTACTTTACTAGGTATGTTTGCTACTGCTCATTTACTCAACTATCTAATCAGCCAAACACAGGTCACCAATTCAATGAACTAAGGCACACAGAAATAATCAAGATGACCTGCTGAAGTTCAAACCGTGCACCAGAATGGAGAAGAAAGGTGATTTAATTGACTTTGAATGTTTTTAAATGTTGGTGCCAGACAGGCTGGTGTGAATATTTCAGAAACTGCTGATCCACTGGGATCTACCATTACACTACCATTTCTAGGGTTTCCAGAGAATGGTCAGATAAAAAGAAAATATGTGTAACACGAGACAGAAATTGGGCAGAAATTCTTTGGTGATGCCAGAAATTAGAGGAGATTGACCAGATAGCCACAACAGCAAAAGACAGGTACCACTTCTGTCGGCTAAGAACAGGAAACTGAGGCTGCAGTTCACAGAACTTCAGAGTCTTAATTTTTCTGCTTTGATATTTGGATTTTAGGGTCAGAATTTGATGGAAACAACATGAAAGAATGTGTCAGTGTCGGTCAGATATTAATCAAATAGAGCACCTTCGGAGGGGACTAGTATCACAGAGTCCCACAACCCTGTACTGTCAACGTGTACCTAATAGTTTAAACATGCAGATATTGTTAAGCTTTCAAATACTCATTAATAAAGAGCTATTCATTATTAGAGAACTAAAATCAATCTCAGTCTCAGAATTGAAGAGCAATTCTATAACAGAATTTGACAGTGCGGTAACTTTTCTTTACCCACCTGAGGCACAGACTGCTGTATACTAGACACAACATGGCTTATGTAGTCAGTGAGAACTTTGTGCAGCGTGGCTCTCCTCTCACTGTCCTTTCTCAGCATAAAAAGGCCAGTACTCTCCTCTGTTGAGGATGGACTGCTCATGTCTGATGTGGAGTCATCTGGTATTCTGGAAAAATTGAATGCAAACAAACATAAATGGCACAAATAAGCCACGAACATGCTGAAATAACCATTGTATGATAGAAAAATGTAGATATGGCTATCAGTAACACATCAGATGTATTATTTAATAATGGCATGGGGCATTTTTTTTTTGCATTATAGCCTTTTTTCACAAGTTATAGGACTGTGAAGAACCTCAGTGTGGTTTACCAGTAAAGTAAGATCCAATATAATCATAGTTTGTGCACAAATGAAAAGGTTTTGAGTTTCTTTTGAGGAATAATCTTACTCACAACAGGAAGCTGTTGGTGCTCGGTGGGCTCTCTGAGATTTCTTCTGCTCTGAGAGAGGACTGCGACCTCGTCAGGTCCAGAGAACAAGACAGGTCAACCAAGTCAGAGTAAGAATCAGTATCCTCCACAAGGATGGAGATAGGCACAGACATACTGCGCTGATAGTCAGCTGTAAGAAATAGAGTTTAGATACTCTGCATCATTGCTATAGAAAGCAAAAATGGGTAAGAGGTGAAATGTGCGTATTTTAAGTGTATTTCTCACTTATAGACAGGGATTCCAGAACAGCTTTAGCTTTTTTCTTCATAGACAACTTTAGGAAATGGTCCTTAAGCAGTTCTGCCGCTGTGGCTCTTTCATCTGGATTTGGCACGAAACAGTTCATGATGAAACTCTTGGCCTCATCTGACATGCACTCTGGGACCTTGGGGTGGATCTTAAACATGCCAACCTAGTTGGGAATTTTTAAAGGTTCATTGAAACACTCTACTTTGAGATTCTTGTGCTGTGATAGCTCTTACGCTATGCTGATAGCTCTCTTTGTCTGGGTTCATATGTATCAGGACAATGAGTTTTGAGAAAATTACACAATTTGTGTCATTCTGCTTCTGGACACCATTACAGTGGATTTTATTATCAATAAATCAAGATGTTATTGTGTGTCACTGACTGCAAATGATTTCCATCCAAGTGTTAAAAAGGAGTTTGTATACTTAAGTTATGTTATTTTGTGTAATCACTCGGTCTGATAGTGGGGGGATTATATAAAAATGTGCACCACTGTCAGGCTGTACAGAGGCAAAATTACACAGAATTGTGTTGTGCAAATAATTATGCACCTAAAGTGTAACTGAATTTAAAACTTTGTATATCTAATCAATCTAATATCCACCTGGTACTTGAAAAAACGAAATAAACAATGACCATGAAATGTAAAAGTCTCCAAAGGAAAAGTCTCCCGAATGTTCCATGAAATATAATTCCAGGCATTCCACAATGTCGCAATCTGCCAAATTTCCTTATGTGTAAAGTCCACTGTGAGCATTTTTAACTTACGTAGAAAACATAACTCTTTTTTTTTTTTACCTTGAACATGGCTGCCTGGGGACTTCCCAGCTCATGAAAGGGTGTTTTGCCTGTTGCCATTTCTATGATAGTGCACCCTAGAGACCAGATATCTGCCGGCTTCCCATAACCCCGAGGTCCTTGGTCTATAATCTCAGGGGCCATGTACTGCAGAGTTCCTATTGAAAATCCACCAGAAAAGTGAAAGTTCGACTACTGTGAGGAGTTCACGTGTAAAAATGTTTTAATAATAACAATCTTTTAATAATGTTATGAATGTCAACTTACCAGTAAATGTTTCAGTACAGGGGTTAATCCCTGCTAACCGTTTGGAGGTTCCAAAATCAGATATCTTCAAAACTCCACTATAAGTGTTGATCAGTACATTGTCACCCTGCATAAGGAACAAAACCAATGAATACCACAAAGCTAAACTTTAAGACACAGTAGACCAGAAAACTATTTGCCACGAGGCCAAAGGTGATGTGCTCACCTTAATGTCTCTGTGGACTATCTGATTCTCATGAAGGTACTTTAGACCCTCAAGTATCTGCTTGGTGTAGAAAATGATGGTGGGCTCGTTGTCTTTCAGAGGACCCCATTTCGAGCGCAAAAGAGAAGACAAGCTACCTGTAAGAGGAAATGCATAATTTCACAAGGTGACCCACGCCACTGATTTCGAGCCTCGTGCCATACGGTCACCCGCTCACGCACTGAACTAAACCAGCGCCTGACAAGGTTATTAGTTTTAAAAAAGATGCAATAATGATATCACATGCACAACTAAAATAACTGTTTCTCCATTACATTTGGCACAATCAAACAAAGCAATGGATTAGGACTGTGCACGTTTCTAATCCGAGGTTCAAGATGTTTTTCTCACAATCACACCATTGTCTGTAAACATTTTCCTCCACTGAACAGGATGTCTTCAGAACCACCCACTTCTTTAAAACTGGCTTGCAGTAGATGTTACATAATCACACATGCATTACAATTCTGGTCACATGATTTCCCTGAAGCCCATGACAAATAGCAGACAGAAAGCAAGGAAACAGACTTATAGGGAACATCAAGGCTTGTGTGTGTTTAAGAATTTCTCAGGAACCTGTGCTTGACGCCATGTCTCCGATTTCCCAAACCACATCGCTCCACCCCGTGACCCAATTTCATTACGTCAGAGGATAATTATTTGCTTGTAGATTACATATGAGCAAACTGATTAATTACACATTTACATTGTGATAACAGCTCTTTCCACAAACAGATGTGAAATTTAAAAAAATCAAAGAAAACCTTTTTTGAAGCTTTGCTTTATATTACAGCTACGATTAAGTAATGACAGGTACTCTTATTGCTAGGAGTGTTAGAAGATCAAATGTCATCTTTTTACCCCCAGGTACTTCTTCCATGAAGATCTTGATGAAACCATCCTGACTGACAGAGCCCAGGTACTGGACAATATTCCTGTGTTTAAGCCTCTTGTGCAGAGCAATCTCCTCATGCAGGGGCTGAGAATACCTAATCAACACAAAAGAATAAAGGTACTGCTGTGAGATTGTTGTGTTTTTACAAGTGATTTGCATTGTCTAATTTAGGCCTCTTTTCATTTCCATCATTAAAAAGGAGTTATAAACAATATACCACAACTAGGTTTGGATTTTGGGTGTACAAACAAACTATTTAAGGGGACTTAATCGCTTAAACCTTTGCCTTAAAAGTTTGCAAAAGCAATAAATATTTTGCTACATATAGGTTTTTTTCCCACGTCTGACTAGAGTCAACAGTGTATTTTTCTTTTTATGTGGTTAACACTACCTAAACGCTATCATATTATTACTGTAACTGAGCAGATTTTGTTGACTACAGCGTAATCTGAAAGTGACAACATCAGAAGGGTAACATATGTGTTTTCTTACGTGCTGTCCTTCTCGGGGATCTCTTTGATGGCGATGCGTACTTGGTTGCTCAGGTCCCTTCCAGCGTACACTACACCATAAGTTCCTTTACCAAGTATTACCTTGTCACCATTCTCATTGGTCTCATAGATATACTGTAGAATGAGAATCAGTAAGAATTAGTATAGAGTGAATGGAAACAGAATTTTAGGAACTTAAGGCCTGACCTTCATTCAGAGGTTTAAATAAGGCAAAATGCTACATCTGCTAAAGGTTTTACTATACTCATGAACTCACAAATACCTGATCAATATTTAATGCAAATATATGTCATCTGTCAATAACATGGCAGCAGCTCATTGCATGGTGAAAACGACATAATGAAGTAGGAAATGAACACCAGAATGTGGAGAAATTTAAGTGACTGAAATAGCATGGGCGTTGGTGCCAGAAAGGCTGGTCTGGGTTTTCCACAAACTGGTGACGCACTAAGATTTTCCTCTTTAAGGCTTACAAAGAAGGATCTGAAAAAAGAAAATATCCAGTGAGTGTCTGTTCTCTGGGTAAAACGCCTTGTTGATGCCAGAGTTCAGCGGAGAATGGCAGGATTTGCAGAGATGGAAATGACTACCTGCTGAAATTCAAACCAAGCATCAGACTGGGGAATATAGGTCATTTAAGTGATTTTGAAGACAGTATGATTCATATTTAGACCAGCCTTGTCTGAGTATTTCAGAAACTGCTGATCTACGGGGATTTTCCTGAACAACCATGTCTAGTTTGCACAGAATGGTCCAAAAAAGAGAAAATATCGAGTGAGCAGTAGTTCTCTGGACAGAAATGGCTTGTTAACGCCAGTTGTCAGAGGAGACTGTCCACACTGCTCTGAGCTGATACTAAGACAACAGTAACTCAAATAAAAACTCACTAAAACAGGAAACTAAGAACCGGAAACTTAGGCTACACTTTGCACGGGGTCCCCACCTTAAATGAATCAAAACAGCATTTTGAGCATTTCTTCCCACCAATGTTTTTCTAGTTTACCCAGTTACTCTCTCACTAGTACTACCTACTACAAGAAACATATGAGTTTCTTTTGAATGCAAAAGGCAAGGATGCATCTCGCCTTGCACCAATAGTTCAAGCTGGTGGAAGTGATTTAATATATTTTTTTAACATATCTCAATGCACTAGAGCACCTTTGGGATGTGGTGAAATAGGATGTTTGCATTGTGGATGTGCAATCGACAAATCTCCAGCAGCCATGTGACACTATCATGTCAATATGGAGCAAAATATCAGAGAAATGTTTCCAGCACTTTGCTTTGTCATGTAGAGTTAAGGCAGTTCTGACAGACATAGATTTGATATATTCTTTATGAATAACACTGGCTTTTCAAATTCTAACTTTAATCATGGTTTTATGAGAGTGAAACACACGTAAAACCACATCTGCAAGAGTAGCTCAGTTCTAAATAAAATGGCATTCACTTTTTTTAACACAGACCTAAAATAAAACACATATTGCATCCGGATATAGAAGGAACTGTAACTGACCTCTAGTATTTCTCCGAGTGTATGTTCTATATCTTGAACATGGTTTTCAGCCTCCTGGAGAAGGGAGTTTACCAACTCACAGAAACTAGGTAGAGAAGAGACATACATAAAAATATTTCTCACTGGAGCATAAATTTAAATATACTTTCAGTAAACATCAGCTCAAGAGAAGAGGTCCCTGTAGATTTCTGCTGAGGGATTTACTTATAAACAGATTGGTAGGTTTTTGGCTGTTAGCCACACTGGTTCACACACACCAAAATACACAACTGCAAGTAGCTACAATAAAATTCATATTTATTTTCAATGGCTGATCAAATTTGAATAGATGTGAATGAGAAGCCTGATATTGTCTCTGGTAATTAAAAAAAAACAAGTGATAGAAAAGGTTAATGTGAGACTGAAAATGTGGATATTTTGCTTACAAGTAATCCCTCATTAGTTCTATTTATCACAGTTTGTTTCATTTTAACTTAATTTGTTTAAAAGAAAACATACCAGTGAAAACAGGAAAAGCAGGATGTTATATTTGGCAGTGTGTTAATAGGAAACAAACAAACAAACTCTATTATATGCAGCTGTGGTCAGAAAATCATTTACACTCATAATGGGCATGGATGTTTGATCATATTGGGCGTTTATAGATTTCATTAAACTATTCTGTTTTCCAGGGTGGAATGATTGCACAGCATACATAACTTTAAAAAGCAATAAGTGGGTGCAGAAGTTTTGAATTCATTTGGGATTTTTTCTCATCCAAACAGAGTGAAAATTAAACATACAGGCTACACATACTGTACATGCCCCACTGATATTTGGTTTACCAGACACTTTTGGTACAAGCTTCTGGCATAATTCTGGCTGGATATGTGACCACTCTTCTTGGCAGGAGTGCTAGAGTTCATTTGAATTGGTTGGTTTCCTGGTATGAACCTGGCTTTTAAGCCATAACTTTTCATTATGGTTAAAGTCGGTACTTTGGGAAGGCCATTCAAATGTTTTGGCAGCCTGTTTTATCCCTTGTAAAACCAGCTTTGTGTGTTTGGGATAATTGTCTTGCTGGGACACCCAAATATAGAGAAGTTAAGGAATGATTCCATCCATTTTTATCAATGTACTGGTACCACTGGTAGCAAAACAGCCTTAGAGCATGATGCTACCACTACCGTGACACTGTACCATGAGAGCTGGTACAGTGTCCCTCTCCTATACTCCTACAAACATACCTCTTGTCATTGTGGCCATTTAAGTGTAAAACCCTTCTGCAGAAGGCATTTGGCTTGTCCATGTTTGCAGCTGCAAATTTCAGCAAATCTTGAAGGTATTTAGTCTGGAGGGACTTTTTCTTGGTTGGAACCCACTGAGTTCATGGTGATGTAAAACTCCATTTATTTTGGAAAGTGTTTAGTAGTTCCTTAGCTGTTCCTAAACAGCCTAAATAATTTCTTCTCATTTGAGGGTGACAGCTTGAGTCTTCTTCGGGACCATCTAAATAAGCCTACGCAAATAAGCTTTACTTAGATACAATTGTCTGAATCCGCAGTTTTTTTGAAATGGCTCCAGAAGACCTCCTCAAATTGGTTAAATCTAAAACTCTCCTTATTAGGTCGTCACTGAGCTCCTAAGATTTTCCTGTTGTTCTGAGTATTGGTCAATCCAGTGAATGCTGTCAAATAAATTCTTACTACTTACTAAGAGAAACTACTAGTTATAGTCAATCATGATCACTAACAAGAAGTTAAGACCTTGTTCTTGTCCATTTAAAAGACCTTCGGCGCAACTTATTAAAAGATTTAAGTGCGTGAATGTGTATATGAGCCTATATGTATATTTCTCACCTTGTGTGAATTACAGAATGTCTAACTTAAATTCTAATTTCTTCATTCAATTTGTGATTTTTAAAAGTCATTAGAGATGTTCTACAGTCATTCCACCCTTGGAAAAAGAACAGGAGAAAGAAACCATTAAAAACTCTAAATTAACTTGACATTCATGCCAGTCATGAGTGAATATAAGCTTCTGTCAAAAACTATAAAAAATATGGCAGCAGACAGCAAACTAAAACTTGTGTGGTAGTGCAGTACTTGTTACTTCACCTCGGATGTTTGTTTTTTTTCTAAATTATGTCAAGAGGTTTCTGAAAAGCAAGTAAGGGCAGTACAGGAAATATGACTCATACCAAGTAATAACAGTCATTGACTACTTTCATTTGTATGCCGACACTTTTTCTGCACCCTGTACACACAACCTGTTAGATCTCATCTAGCAAATCAGTTGATCTGCGAGGATGTCGTTCACATGATCTCACACAAGTGTTAATCACTCACCCCTTACAGTGAATCTCAGATGGGAAGCAGAGCTGGAAATCATCCGAGTTGTAGTGGACGTACAGAAAGCAGCTCCGCTCATCAATCTTTGAAGCACTGCAATGAGAAAGACGTAAACAGGTTTTAATCATTCAAACAGGCAAACCTTTATGTTTGAATATGTTGAACATAAAACTGACATAGACGACATCACAGGCTGTATCTCATAACCCTTATTTGTTCTATTGAAGGAGATGGCTATTGTTTCTAATTCACTGTGAGCTATAGGTAAATAAAAGTAAATCAAATGTATTAAGTATTAGTGATAAAGAGCAAGGCCCCCCTAGGCTCTAATAGAAAATGTGTTTTTCATCATCCCCCCTATGATACCACAGCCTGATAAAAAGTCACCCAGCAGATGACTTTTTCTGGAATATTTGTCCGGTAGACGGGACACAGCTGAAGTACACAGTAACACTGACCTGCAGACACAGAGGAATCAACAAAAAGGTCACATGCTCTGCTCTATTTTACCTCACTCCCCGAATTTCAGAAGCTTGGAAAGTCCACTGGTTTAAGCCCTTCTGCAGAATTAAATACAGATTTAGACACAGGTTAAAAGAGTGTTTTACAGCTAATACAGAGTTTGTCACGCACAGTAAACCAGTTTTTACACACTAATAAATACATATGCAAGAATAAAAGGAACATATATTGATGTTTTAAATGCACAGTGGCTCTAAAAGAACATGCCTACTCACCCAGCTGACTGTACACTCAGACAGAAAACTTGTTTATTACAAAATACACACGTATGTATGACTTGTTCAAAGAGTCAAATGTCTTCCAATCAGAGAGTGGCTCAAAGAGTGGGGGCCCAGACAGTTTACATACCTTTAAGCGTGTGGCGTGTTTTAGCTGGACAGTCTGACTTTGGTCCTCCTCGTTCACAGACACAATAGCTGGTTGGAAGACTTTACTGGGCTCCAGAATGAGCACCTGAAAAACACCAGTTCCAGTACTATCTATTTTAAACATCTACGTAGCTGTTTAATGCATTTTTAAAGCATTAAATTTGTTACATGTTAACTTAACAATCCAAATGAGCAGAACTGAATCCTGATTAATAGTTACTCCATGAGAAGATGAGTGTCCTGTTTATTATTTACAGCTACAGTAAGGTGTTTGGTCTTACTGGACAACAGTTTGATGAGGCAGTGGGTTTACAGGTCTGCAAAAGCAGCTCCATCCAGAAGTCCACTGTATCTTGTTTAGGAGATCTCACTTCAGGTAACTTGGCAAACCGACGGTACAGGATGTACGTTTCCATAATAGATGCCACATACCTAACAGGAATTGAACTCGTCAGTTATTTGTTATTTGCTTTTCACACTTTTAATAAAAACAATCATATAAAAATACATGTGGCTTAGTAACCGATTAAACACCTTGATACTGCTCATCAACAATGGATGATTAAGCCTCACCAAACAGGGGCCTTGAGTCTGTAGAGCTTCTCAGAGGCCTCAATGACTTTCCTGTATTCACCTGCAAGAATGTTTGCTCCAAGGTAGAAACCTACATCCCAGTAGTCCTTCATCTTCTCCAGACTACCCTTTCTACCCAGCAGGGTGCTTAAAGTCACACCTAGACATTGACATCATAAAACAAAACAAAAGAGGTTACTAACAAATCAACAGAGGATGACCCTGACCACAGTTACAACCTCATTTATGGACTAAGAACAAAATAAATAATTGAATACAATGTAATATGCCTTTATAATACTATGCACTGTCAAAACATGATTGGCCAACAACTGAAAACAACATGATATGATGTGTACAGCATAATGAAATGCATTTTCTCACAAATGGGTGAGAAATTACGTGAAAAAACAACTTAATTTTTACTCCCTTCAGTGATAGGATCTGGTGGCTCTGTGAGCTGGGACAGTTTGGGGTATATTTGACAAGTTGGAGACAAGAATAAAAGCAAACATTTCTATCCTGTCTTCCAGGATGCGCTCTCTTCCAGGATGACAATCTCCCCATTCATAAAGGTGCAGTGTTCACTGACTGGGATTAATGAGTATTACAATTACGTGACTCATATCCTGTGGCTCAGTTGAACATTTATCGCACTAATGACATGGTCTACTTTTCAAAGTTTTTGTAACAGGAAATACGTTTTAAAACACAACTAATAAACGTTTAGTATTAATCTAATTTTGACTGAGCTTATGATGAATCCTAATAATATATTTTCTGGCACTGCACATCATCTCAGACATTTAAAACATCAAAAAAATGAATTTCAAGAATCAAATTCAATACATGAAACAATAAATCCACAGACATTAAGTTTTCTCTGATGGAAAGGTAAAAAACAGAAAGCACCTAGTTTGCGCAACTCTATAGACGTCTCAAATTCATGGCCAGCTGCTATCAGGAGGACCACATTGTTGATGGCCGAGTGAAGAGTTGGCTCTGTCTCAAAGGCTTTCCCATACCTGGCAAGTTATATAAAAGAAACAGTCTGGAAAACATGACATAAAGGCCACTTTTCTCAAATGTGGAAAACTTTGTATGGCCTAACTTGGCGTACCAATAGCAGGCCTGGTCTCTGCTGGACTCATCAGTGAACGCTGAGCTCATGAACATGTCCTTGTAGATGCGTCCACACAGGCAGTAGACGTCTGATGCCACCTTGTTCCCTGACTCCACAATTGGCAGAATTTCTTTCAAAGCCTTTTCACGATCTCCGGG